TACACAATTTTAAATTAATATAAAAGTGAATTATTCGTGAATGATGAAGGCAAGCATGTGGCGCATATTGTAGTTTGATGGCGAAAGCAACCATGATCAAGGCCAACATGAACCGTGCCTATTATAAAACCAAACGCCTCTTTATTTTTTGTCCAGCAGGCACAGGACCTAACGGATTCTCAATCAGCTGCAGATTGTGCTAATGAGTATATCTGCCCCAGTTTATCTGTTCTGCGCATATTAAGTTGATAATTTTATTCATTTCTTGCCGAATACGTAACCCTTCTTTTGATCAAAACAATTATTGTATCAACAAAATCATCAGGACCGTCGTTTACTCACCAGACAGCACTATTTTTTTCCCGCAAAATTGCCACCGTGTTGATTGATTGCTTGATTGGGGAGCGGTGCTCCAACACATACGCAACTTGATATTTCCCGCCCAAGTTCAGGATGCACAGCAACATATTGAGATAATGATTCAAAATAATAAAATAACTACGGGAGCCGGAAGAATTAAGCACAAGTGGCAGAGGCATTGACACTTGTCAGCTGGCAGAACGGTCCCCACTCTTAAGACGATTCCAGTAGATTTGATCGAAGGCCGGTTGTAGTGCGCACGCTGCCAGGTCCGTGAATTATACACATCTTTAATCTTCAGCGTTCCTCTGCCTCATAAAATGTCTTGAATATTTTCCACCGCGCAACACAAAACATTGGCCGTAGGAATTACGAGCGACCCGTATAGTATAATTCCTCAAAAATATGTCGATGGCTCAATATAAATGTCTTCTTCTATTTGATTTTTTTCCCTCGTCAAGCACTTATCACGGTTCACCCACAGTCTGTTTTTTTTTTTTTTTTTTTTATAGAGGCCAGTTTATATTTGACGTTCTAGAACATTGGCGGCCACAAGCCGGGGTTTCGTTTTTAGTCGGATATACTCATGGGACCAGGACACACTTTGCTTGTCGCGTTATGTATTATGAAAACTCCTCTATTTATTTCTAAAACGAAAATTACATTGGAATAAAATCCGAGGGGGAAAAAGATAAGGACACTACAATTGGACGATATGGCTTCGTCCTCTGTTTCTTAGGACTGAGAACAGAGGAAGTCACCGCACGATCCATAAGAAATTCCAGATCTACATCCCCGAAGGATTTGTGTAGCCATATAGCCACCAAAGCCAGCTCGGAGCGACGCCGTTTAAGAAGTGCATTTCGTTCTATTCCAGGCCAGATACACGAGACGACATGGTCAATCCATCGATCTGGACCCCGGAGTTTCATTTCACTGGTTTTCATTTCTTGCCCAGAAGCGTGGCGCGCAGCTCGGCGACGTCGATCTCCTTGGTATTCTCCGGTCTGTAGTAACCAGTGACGGGGTCCGGCACCCACGACTCCTTTTCGGCGGTCACTCGCTCTTCCACGGATTTCTTGGCCACTTTACCGCTCATGGAGGCAGCTCCGGCCCTTGCGGCGGTTGTGGCGAATCCCTGCGATGACGACGCGAATCCACGCCTGCTTATGACCAACAAAGCCAAAAGTTACAGCCAAACCCCCATTCATGAGCTTTAATCAAAATAATCTAACAAGCAATTCATTGATCGAATAAGCCGGTCATTATGAAGGAAGAAAAGTGACGATGGAGTACCTGGAGATGGCGTTGACGAGGAGAACAGAGAGACCGTTGAGGTTGGAGAAAGAGCGAGCCATGGTGAATGGTGGAACTTGTGTGGGGAAGCTGCGGAAAGCTGCTTTTGATAGGTTAGGGTGATGAATACAAGGAGAAGAAGCTTTCCACAGCGGCGAGAGGAACCTTTCTTTCTGATCGGCGCCTCTCTTTCCCAACACTTATTCCTTGGGTTCTATAATGGAACTCGGGGGGCATTATATATAGGCGAAGCAAGGGCAGGGGTGGGGACGTTATTAATCGTCGGATTTTTCTTTTTCTTTCACGAGGAAAAATAGGAGAATTATGAGGCGCGTGCGGGAAGGAACGCGGAAGTGGGAAATCAAAAATAGGTTTCCATAATTGAAGGGAGGACGGAAGACCCGTCAAAATAAAGCATATAAAGAACCTCTCCCATTATGCCACCTGTCCCTTGCTCGCCGCTGAGACCCGTTTGGGGCGGCAATTCCTTTATAATGTAACCCAAGTATCGTTCATCACGTCTTCCCTTTACCATCTTCTTATGTATTGGAACACGTGTACGGTATGCATATAATTTTTAACCTAAAATAATTTGGCTGGAGGGCAGAAATATCCATATTTTTCTTTTTCTTTTTCGTTTAACTTAAATTATTGGTATAAGGTCGGCCTGGGGGAGGGTTGGCGGCGGAACGCAATGGAGACTAATGTATGACTCAGTCAGAGTGAGTGGCCTGTATGCAGTCAATGCTGTGTGGAACCTAGAAAGTGATGTGGGGAATGCGTTGAATTTGGCCTTTGTTTGCTCAATTCTGTTTCGCCATATATCGTGATTATGATTATTTGAATTTTCCGTTCGGTTTATTTGACTTCTTGTATGTGCTTTTCCCAACTTGCCCATGGAATGGCATCCCCGGTTATTTACCCCCACTCTGGATGGGACGCCTAGCTTTTAGAACTTCCTAAGAGGCGCATTTGGTGCGCAGCCTCATCTCTACGGCAATATAATCCAACTTTAATTGCTTTATAGAATCACGGTTATATTATCAGTATAAATACTATTTTATTTGCGGCTTCATCAATCATAAAGCCCGGGCTCGTGAGAGTTCAGAACCAAACATGATTTTTTTTATAAAAAATAAAATGAAGGAAAGTCGGTCCCTCTTGATTGTGAATTTGTGATTTATCCAAGCACATTTAAATTCGGACAAATTAGTAAAAAAATCCCTGTTTGAATTGCACACATCGAATGATATATTGTACTCACAGATCATACTTGCACTTGCACAATTCATGTCTTTTTGGTCAATTAAAATTTTAAACAAGAATTTTTCCTTTAAATTCTTTTCTGTTTGAGTGAGTCCTTTTTATTTAAAACTCACACGCCTCCTCTCAATTGATCTCGAATTTATCATTGACTGACTAATAAAGAGGAGGAGTGTTCACTCGGAGCATGATGATCTATCCATGAGGTTGCGAGATCATTAAGATAGAAAAAACTGATCACGCACTCAGAATACTAAACATTATACTCTTAAAAGTCAGCGACTAAATAATTACTAGGACTATGGCACAAATTTCATATCAAGCATGTCCATATTGTGAACTAAGGATGAGTTGGACTTCTGTTTAAAATGTTTATAAGTACTATTTTAATTTTCATTTATCAAATATGAGATAAGTAGATGAGAAAAATTTCGTGTCAGTTTACATAAATGTGCTTCAACCTTATGGATCATGGATCCAAACAAGCTCTTAATACATCGTCCACTGTAGTCTTGGTGAACTTGGTGCTTAGGCTCTTGGAGAGTACATGCGAGTAAGTAAATTTCGGCCATCTAACATCATACCAGTACATACTGAAGGCCACAGCCAATTTCCACTCTAACCGCGTACTTGCATGAATCTCTCTTCTTTAGAAGAGGTGACTAAATGATTTAAATACGATCCTAGCACGCACTTCGTACCATAGATAAGTTACCCTCTTACTTTTTAGTTGATACCGAAGAGCAGTGCACTGCGTGGCCATTTTTTATTAATTTTTAAATAAATTAAAAGTAAACTTGTAATTTTATAATGCTGTCACTTCGTCGCCACGTCAAGTGTTTTGCCATAAAACGACACTTTCCTTTGCGCCTGATATTTTCCCCTCCGTCGACATGGATGATTGTTCTAGACACATGACTCGTATTACACGATCGATCATATATATGCGGATGGGAAGCGTTCTGGGGGGCCAGCCGCGACAAGACCCAATTTGCTGCATCCTCGTCTTCATGCATGATGACTGCGCGCGTGGCTTCGCCGCTCTGATTAAATATTTCATTTTCTAGTTTCCTAATTCTCAGCTTTGTCTTTATTCGCCTTCCGCCAAGCTTCGTGACTGGTAATTGATTAAATTAATTACGCGTCTTAAATTATTCTTAATCCAATCCATCATTCATCTGTCCCCACAACCACAAACCCGGATATTTTCTTTTTTTGAAAAACGGCTGTCAACAGCGATTCAGTGGAAGCATCTTTTTTATTGGCAAATTAAAATGCTACACGCACACGCACACTCCCCACCACCTCATTCGGATGCAGGCTCTTGGCAAGGATTGATCTAAAAAATTTTACTACTAGATATTTTATTATGAGCAAAAATATTATTTTAATTCCTGCAGTTTTGATTCAGCATCGAGTTAACGCTTAAGAACCAAGACATAATAAGGTTAAAATTATATAGCGATAAAAATTTATTTTTTTCCCTTATCTCAAGCACTCTACACCAACATGGAAAGCTATTCTTAATTAAACAAATGGTCCTTATTGGTATTGCCGGGAATTTATTATTTTCTTTGAAGATATTTTTTGTTCTTAAGCTATTGAATGATGTAATAATATTCTTAAACTTGTAAAAACATTATAGTTGGCTCTTGCTTTTAAACACAAGCAACTATTGTTCAAAACAATCACAGATAAAAAACAAATATATGCTCCCCACCACACAGTTAACAGATGTTTGCTTCTTTTTAATGGCAAAGGCCTATTACAGTCTTGTTCAAAGTTTGAGGGCGACTCCAATGCTCACGGGAGCACAATTTAAGGGTAAACATGCTTTTTTGGACCAAAAAAAAAGGGTAAACATGCTTTTTAACCTTTTGGTTTTTTCTTGCAAAAAGGAATTCACTCTTTTATGCAAACATGACTGCAGACCAGCCCAACCTAGTCGACAGGCCACGATCCTGGCCCTTATACACGGGCCGAAATGAGAAGCCCGATATTGGTCGAAAACCTCTTTTAGGCCCGATATCTTAAAAAAAATGACAGTGTTCCGCGGACGGATGGTTTTTCCGGCACCGTGATAAACCCTACATCGTCCTCGTTGAAGTCCCTTGGAGTCGCTGACTGATTTGAAAGCGAGTCGGGCATCCGAACCTTCACTAGAGGAGAGGTCGGAACTGAAGGATGTCGGAAGTCAGTGCGGGCCCTGAAACACCACCCAACATGACCATCTACATCAACAACCTTAACGAGAAGATTAAGCTTGACGGTACCTGCCTTCGACCCCTATTAATTACAATTCCTCTCATTTTCACCATTTTTTTGTCCGAAAATTCTCTGTATCGGTTTCTTTTTAATTTTTTTTAATTGAATGTAGAGCTGAAGAAATCGTTGCACGCTGTTTTCTCCCAGTTCGGCAAGATACTGGAGGTGTTAGCTTTCAAGACTCTCAAGCACAAAGGTCAGGCTTGGGTTGTGTTTGAGGATGTATCCTCTGCTTCCAATGCGCTTAGGCAAATGCAAGGTTTCCCGTTTTATGATAAGCCCATGGTTTGTTCCTTCGCTTTCTTGGTTTTCTAATTTTTATCTGATTAGTGTTTGTGCGTGGTTTTCTAAACCCCCGACCTACACCGTAATGCACTGTTCTTAAAGTCCTTAAATGTCCACAATGCTCATTAAGTGCTGTACTTAATTTGACTTATTTATGGAAGGAGGGTAACCGGAAGAAAACTTGGCCTGGAGAGGTTGATGGATCTACTTAAATTTAGAAGTATAGAATAACAGGCTTTATTTACAGTTCATGGATCAGTTTAGACTGTAGATTCTGTGATATATGGCCTGATTGCATAAGCTGCATCCTTTTATTTCGTCACTTTGTCAAAATCCTTTAATTCGCTCAGTTTATTCCACGCCACATCAATTTCTTACTATTGCTGGAAATTGAATTTGGTGTTGCGATTTGCAGAGAATACAGTATGCAAAGACTAAATCAGATGTAATAGCAAAAGCAGATGGCACTTTTGTTCCCAGAGAAAAACGCAAGAGGCACGATGAGAAAGGTAGAGTAAATTGCTTGTAGCCCGCTTCTCTCTGAAAATGGGAACCCAAACCCAAAAATGACCAAAATGTGACAATGTATTGGGTTGAACCGTACTGTCTGAGCCTGGGCTTTAAGTGTTCATGCCAACTGATGCTTGCTTATGCACTAGAATATGAATTTTGAGAAAAGAAAAATTGTTCTACTTGTGAATCCCAACTGCAGCCTTCTGTGCAGTTTAGTTTGTCTGGGCTGGGGAGAGATCCTATTTATTTAGGATGTGCTTAGCTCTCATGCTCTGTAGTCTAGGTAATGGTAAACTTATGTTTTGCATATGAGATTAAATGTACAATATATTTATTGAAGAATCAATTTGAAAAGGAGAAGAAAAATGATAAACTGCCGAATTGGACGGAGTTGACCTGGCTGTAATTTGTCTCAGGCAAGAAAAGGAAGGACCAACATGATGCAAATCAAGCTGGAATGGGAATCAATCCTGCATATGGTGGTACATATGGTGCAACGCCTCCTGTGAGTACCCTCTGCAGCTTAATTTGTTCACCATGCCATTCATTTATCATGATGATGTTAAAAACATAATGATTTTCTAGTAGTCTGTCTCAGTTGAATTTGACATGTTACCAGCGTAATTCTCCTTTTTGTGTTATAGTAATTGATATTTGAAAGGTTGGCTCTTGGATTTGTGCTAAAATTCCATTGAAGATAAGCATGTAGGGGTTTTCATGCTAGAAATTTTCTGAAAGAAAAACTGCAAAATTTTCTTGCAAGTTGATTGGGTTGCCTACAGGACAAAGAATGAAAACTGTATTAGAGAAAATTGAGACAGATGGCATTATGGTCAATGTTTTTGTTTTAAAAGGAAGATGATGAACTGAACTCTTTCGAATAAAATTCATATTCAGATGCACAGTAACGTGATTGATTTGTTCTTTTTCACTTTGTTGTGACTATAAGTACGTAATTACCTCTGCAATTGATTCTGTACGCTAATGTTGCTTCAATACCAGATCGCTTATCCAGGTGGTGCAAAATCTATGGCTCCTGAGGCTCCTGCACCGCCCAATAATATTCTCTTTGTTCAGAACCTTCCCACTGAGACAACTCCCATGATGTTGCAAATGCTTTTTCTTCAATATCCTGGTTTCAAGGAAGTTAGAATGGTGGAAACAAAACCAGGTATTGCTTTTGTGGAGTATGGAGACGAGATGCAATCCACGGTGGCAATGCAGGCTCTCCAAGGCTTCAAGATTACCCCGCAGAACCCTATGTTGATAACTTATGCCAAAAAATAGGTTTTTTGTGCTCTGCTAGAGAGAGGCCACCATCATAGGTCTAATCCACAGCTTGAACTTAGTCATCCGCCAAATGGAAGCCTTCATATTCCCGGTTGCTGTATCCTGAAAAAAGTCGCAGTTCCTGTATGAATGTAGTTAAGAGTAATTTGATCATTTTTGCGGTTATCTTCGAACTAACGGTTACGAGTTTATTCCTGTATGCGACATGCTCATACTGGACTGCATCTCTCGAAGAATATATTGGGTGTTTGAGACCATCACTATATCTACATATGATGTAAATTCTTCAAGAAACCGTATTATTTTAAAGTTCTGTATACTGTGATGGTGTGACTCATTTTAGATTTTAGATACGGGAGGTGTTTAGATGGAAATTAAATCATAGTTTTAAAAATGATTGTATGGCATATAAAATAAACATGTAGGGGAGTTTGTCTCAATTTGTGAAAAAATACTTTTAAAAAGCATTTTTGATATTATCCAATCAACCCCGAGAAGGCAATAAATTAGTCATATTGACGAAACGAGTGTCTTGAGTCTCATTAACCATCATCTGCACAAGCAGCTCAAAATTGGAAAACCTGCAAAGTTACTGTTCAAGACTTATTGTTCATATGGTCGGGAAGTTGGATGATGGATCACTCTCGTTTGTTAGCGTCAATGTAATGCCATCGCATCAGGGACAGATTAACATGAAAAAAATGTTCGAGATTAAAAGAAATAGACTGAGGTTTTTCAAACTCATACTTTGTACTTTATTCTTAATGTTGGATTAACATAAGCAGAAGTGATCTTTATCTTAACTGGCTTGTGCAAAATCAAGCCTCGATAAAAATCATAAGCATAAAGCCAGGCAGTAAGTTATCCTCTCCATTTTCTTGAGGGATTTTAGCTTTTCAGCTGCCTTGGTCCGCGTCGGTAAGTGATAACAAAGTAGTGTTTCCATTCATCATGTGACGGATTCGTATTCGAGTGAACAAGTTGGAAGATTTCACGAGTTTCCAAATTTAATTGCGTTGGTAAGGAAGTACTGTTTTTTTGTTGTGTTGCTGTTCTTTTCTCTGGATCAGAGTCAAAAGCAGACGTCGAGTGTTGCAGAATTCTAGCAACTTGGGAGCATGATTGATTTTCAAAAGCCTTTGAAAAATATGAGAGTATGACCAAACAAAGCATTTACTACACATCCAGCAACAGGATGCACACGCCAATACGAAGTCTTCGGATTTGATAATGACCTCATCCAGAATCTATGTTCTCCTCCTACAAGATAAAGCACGCTCGTTCTAAAGCAATAACGGTTCCCATTCGTTTCAAATGGAGATACGAAAAGTCACCCTTCCAACATAATTGCCCATTGATCACTTTGCAAGAAACCAAGAAGGGTTCTGCTTCGCCTTTAAACCTCCATACTTGGTTTATGACACTGAAGGTCAAGGATGCAGCAAATAGTAATGATGGTCTGCGTCAGTGTGACGACCTATGTAAAACCTCTAAATTAAGATTTGAATCATCATGACACGGCACAAGTTCCCGCATGCTTTGCAATTGCACCAGAAACTTCATCATGTTTCATCCCAAACAGAGGAAACCTCAGCAGGGCACGCAACGAGGATTATGGAACACTACTCGCCATAAAGAAACTGAGCTCTGGAGAAACATGCATGTCCAAAAACTGCTCTGAGCGGAGGATAATTGCCTTTTAAAAGAGTTCTCATCCGTATTAGTCCAAAACAGTACAAAGTTATCGGCTTGTTTCGTTTGCCTAGGCATTGAATTCAAGTAGCTGGAGTTTATTTATGAATGCCAGAATACCAAGTTTTGTCAGCCAGTGTCAATTGTTTACTCTCTCTTCTGCCGGGAATTAATGACAGTGTTTGAAATTCTGGAAGTCTCCCATCTGTTAAACCACCAAAAACTTAGGGGGGAAAAAGGTAAGGCCTAGTGGTTATAGGGAATCATATCTAAGTAGGGAGTTTCCTAACTTTCTCAAAAACTCACACATGCCATACTCGAAAACTTGCACCCAACACGCAAAGCCTACGTGCACTCATCCATTATTCTTCTCCACTGCTTGCACCATCCATTCCTTCGCAAATGAGAAAAGGCAAAACCAATATAAATACAGTAGTACAGTGGCAATAGGGCCTTTAGAGAGTGGACTCGTGCTTCTCTCTCTGCTGCATTGAACCTCAAATGAACAAAAGGGTTGTTGGCCTTTTTTATGAAATTAAGGCAGACAAGTCTCGATTTGGGTTTCCTTCGATATCCCTACTTTGATTTTCTGTGTGTACTAGCATCATGGCATGACATGGTTTGCCAGAGCTTTGTTTTTTTCCCCCTTTTTTCTTTTTCCCCGCTTTCACACAAAGACCGCCAATTCACTCATTGCTTCTCCCAGGTTTCTTCTCTTCTCTATTATCCAGAGTTGCACCTATATATACCCAGCCTTTTTCCTCTATGCAGTTCAACTTCCACCACTGTTCTCAAAGCCAGTGTCTGATCTTGATCGTGTGAGAAACTCCTTGTTGGAGAAGCAGGGCACGTGCAGATCTCTTGGCTCTTCAATGCCAACGATTCCTTTGCACGTGCTCCCCTTCTCCAACACGGGCTTCTCACCCTTGTGTCTCCCTTGAGCTCCCTGCGTGGGTCTGGTTCCGTTTGAGGTAGGGCCCTTTTTCTTTCGACGTTATCTTGTTCGGATGCCGTTTGTTCATCAAGAAAATGAGGGAAGCGAAAACGCAGTTGCTTTTCATGCTGAGATATACAAATTACTCAGCATCTGCAGTTTCTAAAATTCAACTCATTTAAGTTCGTTCATATGTCTTGCTGAAGGGAAGGGACGATGAAGCTGAACGCCAGCCAAAAGGACACTGTTTCTTTGTTCCTGCAATCACGCGACAGATGGAGGGGAGAATGCTGAAAGAGATAATGGAGAGAGTGAACAAACGGAAAAATTAGGGTATTATTTGCTTTGCTGTTTTTAAAAATGAAAAGCAAAAAACTTGTGTTAAAACGTGTTTTTATAATTTAATCTGAAAAAATTGAAAAGCTAAAATTTGTTTTAAACAAATCATGTGCTTGATATTTTATTACTTTCTCTAATCAAATTAGAGAACTATCAATGATAATCATGCCAATAAAGCAAACTAGTGTTTCACCTCCTTCATCATTTTAGATGTATTTTTGAAAATAATGATTAAAACATTTTTTTACTTTGGAAATTATTCTACAAAATTATTTTGAGAACACAAAAATAATAGTGAAATCAAATAAGTTTTTCACTTCTTTCAAATGGGTTGCACCACGTCGTGATACTGCTACTTAAATATTCAGCGCACGTTTGAGATAGCATTAAAAAATTTCATGAGTTAAGATTACAAGATTTGCTCAATGGAAAAAATGATGTTTGATTGTTGTATGACTTTTGAGATAATTGATTTTTTTTTTTTATCAAAAACTACAACCTTTTTTTTTGTTATGTAGTTTTAGCTCTTTGGCTTTTCTTTTTAGATTTCAACCTTTTGAAACTAAGCTCTTAACATATCATTTAAATAATTACATGTCAAATTGACTGTTTAAATAAAAATTTATTCAAATATTAATCGTATTACGTTAATTAAATTTTATCCTAATTTTAATAAATGCATATTTGGAGTTTGTTTGCATCAATGGGGAGTCAGAAATAAAGTTTGGATGGAATAATTTCATAAATATGATTCTAGGTGAGATTGATGTCGTTGTAATATAATTTATTTCGATTTTTTTAATCAAAATTGATTTTAAAGAAATAGATCTATTTAAATATTTTTAATCACACACATTTTTAAGTAATTAATGATTACAAAACACATCACCTTTATATCACAGTATTTCACAACTAGTTGAAGTGCATATCACATATAATTTATTATATTCAATGAATAGAAAGTATAAGTTGGCAAAAAAGGTGTAAACATCAAAAAATCAAAAGTAGGAAGAATTAAATATTGAAAATATTAAAGGGAAAATCCTAAAAAAGTGATAGCTGAATTTCAAAATTCCAAATCAGTATTCGTCACTACATTCATAAAGAAAATGACTACATTCAAAGAGTAAATGACAACTCATTTTTGTAGTAATTCCTGATGTGGCATTTTAAAATTCAGTAGTCACTTTTTTTAGATTTTCCCAATATTAAACACGATTTTTACAATATCTCCTTTTTCCTGAATTATAATCAATATTATCATATGCATTATAGTTATAATATTATATTTTATATAAATTGTAACCGTTTAAAGAAATTTCACCTTAAAAATACTTATAGTATTACTCTTCTGGTCCTTAATATAAAACCCATTTAAGTAATCTGATTAGATTAAGAAAGTTAGGTAGGTTAGTTAATTATAAGAAAAGTGACATTTTTTCTAAAACACCATAATCATCTTTCTTAATACCCAATTTCCCTCTTCTACTTGATTATGGTTGAGGGAGTATCCATAGGAGTAATTTAGAGAAAATTGATAAATATGAGAAATGAGTCTTATATTTAGGACCAAAACCAACTCAAGAATTGAGTCATATATTAAGAACCGGAGGAGTATAATATTATCATATATTACCTCCGATCCTTGATATAAGAGCTAATTGACCAATTTGAGTATATTAAAAAAATTAGTTAAATTAGTTACTTGTAATATATGGGTATTATCTTTTCTACAATATTTTTACTAATCAAGTGCCATTTGATGAAATATTTAATATGTGCAATTACTGCTAGTACTATATTAAAAAAAAGATAAATATAAAAGACAAAGTGGATTGAGATTTTATATTTAGGATCAAATTAAAAATTAAACAAACTCATATATTAAGGACAGGAGATAGTAGTAGTACAATCAAGAATGTGCTTATGATTATATTATTACATCATAAGGAATAAGGAATACAATCATAATTAGGACATTTCTTATGTCAAGTTCTTTATATTTATTATATTAAGTTTTCCAATTACAACGTAATCATATATTCTATTTTTAAAATATCAGCATTTAATATCCTTTAATTATAGGCCTAGATAAAAAATAAAACAAATGGTCACATGTGATTAAAAAACTTGGCATGATAAATATGAGATTTGTGTTATAATTCGTACATATGTACGTATAAGTTATAATATAACAATACCATAATTAAATCCTTATTGAATGTTCAATTCGTTATTCAAAGCAAATCGTAAGTATATGTATCATTTTATTGGAGATAATCATATTTGAGGTCAAATCGAGCATTAAATACGAGTATATTTCTTAATAAAGATTCGAACTTTAATTCATCACATTGTAAGAAATGAGTCAATTTCGTTAGTCTTAACCCTCGTTGGTGATAATTATTT